ACTACAAGTTAATCAAGTAATTCTTTTTACCTTTGTAACAGGGAAAAACATTCTGCGAAATGTTCGTAAACAATTGCGTGTTACTTTCGGTAGTGGTGTCCTATGGTTTTCAGACGTCGTCAGGGACGACAAGTAAAGATCGTTATCATGTGCCTGGCGACATCACAATTGGAGCTTTGATTACACTACACCACAGCAATGATGATGGCGAATGCAGTGATTTTTCCTCAGCAGGACTTGGCCATGTGGAAGCTATGAAGTTCGCCATCGACACAATCAACAGGAACCCACACCTGCTTCAAAATGTGACTCTAGGATATGACATTCGGGACTACTGCACAAGCACTGTAAAGGCAATGAAACACACGTACGATTTTGTCCGGAAAAATGAATTGGCCTCAGAATTTCAAAACGCCAGGTTCGTTGGTGCATTAAAGAATAACACAGAACAGAAGAAACGTACTCCAATAACAGCTGTGATTGGTCCGACCGATTCAGGGGCTGCAATCTTTGTAGGGAGCCTTTTACAAGTGGCTGAAATTCCACTCATCAGTTACTCGGCAACAAGCGATGAGTTAAGCTCCCCGCAGTACAGTTACTTTTTTCGCACTGTTCCTCCTGATAGAAAGCAGGCGAGGGCAATGGCCGATGTAATAGATTACTTCAATTGGAGCTATGTGGCTGCTGTGGCAATGGACGATTCTTACGGTCGAAATGGGGTCCGGAGCTTGGAAACTGAGGCAGGCAAAAGGCAGACATTTTGCCTTTCTTTTGCAGATTACATACCAAGAGAAAAGTACATAACAAAGCTAGAAAGAACCGTGGAGAAGCTTCGAAGCCACTCAAATGTTCACGTTGTGGTGCTCTGGCTATTAAGAGGATATGGACGCCGATTGTTTGAGGAAGCTGCAAAACAGAAAATGTATGACCGCACCTGGATTTTCAGCGATAGTATGACTGCTGGAGGGGAGGAGCTTATGAAAATGAAAGACGAATATAAAGGAGTTGTCCATGGGTCACTTGGTATTGAACTTCGTCATTTTGATGTTCAATATTTCCAAGATTTCTTGATCAAAGAATCCATCAAGTCCTTACAAGAGGAAAGCGCCTCTGCTCCTTGGTGGAAAGAGTTTTGGAAGCAAAAAGGTAATACATCTTCCAATGAGACAGTTATTCGTTCGGTATACAATAGCTACATTCCCTATTTGGTAGATGCCGTGTTTTCTGTTGCCTTTGCTATA